GTGTAATTATATATAATGTAATTATAGTTTTTCAGACGTTGCTTCTTCCTTCAAGATACATCATTCGTAGAGGGATTTGTTAGACTTTAATCTGGAAAATTTTGCTCTAAAGGCTACTGTGGCCTTGCTGTAGAATGTGAGTTGGCATGTTTACTGATGTAGCGAAGGCTAAAAGTTTCATTTTGGCTGGAGTGTCCCTTTAAATAACACTCTAATAATGGGAATGGATATTTTCAGGCATATGATTCTTTGATATAGCCATTGCATTCGTGAGGATCAGCAACCTTTTGTCTCATTTAATCCGTGACCTATGTTGGTGGATGAGCAGGAGAATTTGGCTTGTGTATTTACCTCCTATTTATGCCTGAGTGAAAAAAAGATGTCATAGATGGCCACATAAAAGTTGCTAAAACACAAATGAACATAAATATAGATGACACCTGGACCTCTATTCGCTTTTTTCATTCGCTTTTTTTTTCTACCCATTGTTTTCGTTATTCTGGAGAGATAACTATAAGCATAGCATTATCATAGGTAAAGTTATCTGCAGTCTGTTAGTCTGACTCGGTCTGATAGTACAACAGAAAAATTCAGACTATACTTGAATATCTCGAGAACAAAGTCTTGCCCTCAAGGTGCAATGTGGTAATGGCAGAGTACATACCTCCTGTGTCTTAAAGTAACCCTTAGAGAACAATTGCTGATGAATGTTCAAAGTTCTCGAGGGAAAGGATTCAAGACAATGCACTTTTGGGGCATGCCTGTGCATGAAGCAGCGGGGCACTGTCTCAGAGGGGAAACTTAAAATGAGTAGCTGACAGAGAGTGCTGACAGACAGTGCTCCTTTTTTGACACGTGGGGATAAATCAAACACTCATTCCCCCAGCACTGGATCTGGTGAGACGAAGGGGCTGATTGATAGGACGATGTAATGGTAGATGAGCTCATAGGACAAAGGCAGAGTGGTTGCGGAATGTGTGGACAGAGAGATAAGAGGCTGTATGCTTTCAGGACATGCTCTAATCTCATGAGTACTTTGTGGACATCTTTTCATAGAGGTGTTCCACATCCTTAATATAGGAAAATAGCCTGCTAATTTGGAGCCCCCAGCAGTCATCTAAACTGTCTGAATCATTTATAAGTTAATTCTTTAAAGGGGGAGGGGGTGCACCAACAAAGAATAAACTTAAGCTTGTATTAAATCAAAGTTTATCTATTAATCCAGTGACACAAACTTTAAACGTGGTTAGAAATAATCAAGGTTATACTTAAACCGTCATTTAAATCCTGGTATTAGTTTTACAGACAACTTTACAAAAAATTACTTTACACTCAGATTTAAATTTTATTTAGGGATTGCATTTAAACTTCCAGCTGAGGTGCGTTTAAATTTATAAAATGTGCTGCACTGTTTTTTGGAAAACAGAAAACCTCTCCTTCTCTCTATCTGTGTATACTATCCACATAAAAATGCAGGTGTAAATACACCCAAGATGCATTTAAATCTGATTGTTCAGAGTACTGCAGGAGACATTATACAATGCCAGATGTTCTACAAGCGTAAATACATCCATCTCTCCAAGCCACATCTGACAACCAGAACCCCTCCCAATACTCTGGCAGCACTTTCCTCTGCTGTTTTGCATATGGGGAAAAAATGCCTTCTGTACTGCCACTGTTAAACCGAACCATCAGTGCTCCTTCAGTTCAGCTCTTGACAGACACAGCTCTTGACTCCTCTGAGTTTAATTCAGTAGCTTACAACAGCTTGAGCTAGTTAAAATAGTGTGCTATTTTATTTAATTCACATCATTAGTCATTGTCTCGTTACATTATGTTTTAATACACATGGTCCTTGACTGCGACGACTAATACAGGAGGCCATTATTTTAAACAGCTGCCTTCTTGTAAATTGGTGTACAGCCTGTGTAAGGAAATGACTAACACCATACAAAACTGTAATTTTTTAGTAGAATCCTTTGGATAGAATGGGAAAATTAGGTACAACACAGGCTATTGGTTGTTGAATATGAGCTTATTTGCATATTAAACTCCATTATATAATCCGTCCAGTTAGCGCAATCGGATTTCAATTTACATGCAAGTGTAAATGCATGTGGTTAAGATCTTATCAGGTTACAATCCAGATACAAGTCATATGCAACAACCAGGTGTAAATGGGATCTTAGATGCAAAGCACCTCAGGGAACTAACTCATACACTCACTCACTAACAGTTAGTAAGTTGAAGTTTCTCCACAAGGGAGGAAAACCACACCAGCAGCATCTCACTAATGCAAGAATGTTCGCAGTTACAAAAAATAAAAGGCCGAAGACATGCTAAATATACCCTAGGTGAGGATGTGGTTTTGTTTAGCTAGGTCTAAAGTGACCAGCTTGAGGCAAATAGCTAACAGGCTAACAGGCTACTTCAGTAACTGTTAGATTAGATGTATTTATGAATCATTAACTATAAATCTATTAAAAAAGTTTTTTTTTAATGTCTTAGGCTTTAAATGTTTACATTTAAGGAACATTCCTGTTTTAGTGGAAATGGGATAAGCAGGCTACTTATAAGTTGGGATTTCTGCATTAAACATGATTGCTGCATGTTTATGAATTTGAATTTAATTTCAAATAAGCAGTTGTATTTAAAGTATTTAAATTCACATTACCAATGTGTGCATTATTTAAGCATGCTTCTCAGGACTGGCTAAATAGGCACAGGTTTCAATCAAAGATGAAGGTTTTTATAGTAGATTTGTTTTACATTTAAAATGAAGTAACACAACTCCACACTAAGATAAACCTGGGTTAACAAATACTTGATTAGCTTTAAATTCTCTTGAATTTAATCCTTATTGGTTCAACCCAATCTCAGAGACTAAATGATTGCGTTGATTACCAGAAGAAGCCTAAAGCCTTTGATCATTAAAGATGGCAGTGGTTGTCTGTGAATAAATAGACCCATAATGGAATTATGATAATGAGTGAGCTGAAAGATAACCACCAGTCACAAATAAGCTTGAATTGCTGACATTCTTCCATTGGCAAGTGGCCAATGGCAGACATTTGTCAGTCATGAAGCATTATCAGTCACTTATCTTGTGATATGCATTGTTTCTGATGTTGGTTACAACTTGTCTGTCATCATCACTTTCACACCACAGCCTGATGTTTCTAAGGGCCGTGGGTTATTTATCTGAGTGGCAGAAACAGTATCCAAACTGGAAATTGGCTGCAGTAATAATAAAAACACTTGGATAATACATAGCACTGCAACTTTCACTGTTACATTAGGCTAATCAGCATACAAGCTCTATTTGCATGTTGTGGCACAGAATATATAGGGAAGGAGCACAAACCCTAACCTGAATAAGAGTCGTTGAACAAAGCCTTTGAGGATGTTAACAAAGAGGTGGGGAATTTAGAGTTTGAGCTGTGTTTACAGAGGTCTACAGAGGCCTGAAGAATGGATTGAAAATTAAGACGAACAAGTTAAAGTTTCATATTCTGTGTCATCTGTTTTCTTTTAGCAGAACTGGTCAGTCCTCACAAACACGAGGCTGAGTACAAGGTCTCAAATGAGAATTTCATTGAGTTTCTGCAGTAAGTAAATGGTTAAGATTTAAACAAAGTCATTTAGAGTGGTTTGATGTGAAATGCTCCATTCTAGAGGCACTGAGTCAGAATTTTTCACACTTAGTGATGATAGGAACCAGACGTCTGAAGCGTTTTGATGCTTAATAACAACTCCCTTACAGAAAGTTGTTACATGGAATGATTACAAGTATGTTACCTGATGCCCAAAACATTGTTTTACGATACATACAGAGTGTTCTAAGGTAAAAGTTTTGTCTGGATGCTATTTTACCCTTATTAACTTTACATATACAAAAAAACCGAGAAGACACTTGTGTTTTTGGATAGCAAGTAAAATGGCAATATTTGTGTTGCAGACATTGTGACCCCTGGTTCCTATTACCGCCACTATGAAGAAATGAGAGTCAGTAAGTTTGTACACAGTTAACTATTTCACATCAAACCACTCAACCCTTTTCAACCATTGCATTATTTTCTATAAGAGCAATAAACAGTCCAGCATTTTTGTATTTTACGTCCGTCACATATTTCTGATTCTCTTTTGCTCTGATGGAAGGCCATAAGGAAAAGACAGTCTGCTCCATCTGCAGGTACTCATTCCCAAAAACAAAATAGACGGCCCTCTGTCTTTTTCTCTTTTTTCCCATCTCAGCTTTGACCTGTTCAATAATGGTGTCCCCGGCATGTTCTTTCAGGTTCACTATGGGTTACTGCAAGAAAACACTGAGCCAGGATCAGACATCGTAATGTAAGACTACAGCTATAAACTGTTAACATCCACTCTGCTATTCTTGGGTTCCTGAGACCTGCTTGTTGGGAAGTGTATATTTAACCTTGCTCTTTGGCCTCTCTGCCCACTGTGTGCAACAGCTATCTGCTCCTAGTTATTCATAGCACTGGAGATTCATCCAGACTAGACTGGCCTTTAAACACGGCATGTGAACATGCCCACATGTCAGCCTGAAGATATTACAGTTAAGTACTGTAGTATGTTGGATGTGTTTATATACCGAAAACAACACTTTTGTTGTATGGCAAAGGAAATAAAGGCTGGAAATATCTTAAAAAGCAGCCTAGCGAATCATTAGAAGATGCCAGTGGAGTCAGTACTGAAATGATGGGAAAGGGGAGCGTTTAGCGTTCAAGCTCCAGTGGACGGTCCGTTGCCCCATTGCATGTTGACGCCCACACGGTCGCTCACTGCTGACGTTAACCGTCCAACTGACCACTCAGGCCACGCCCATTCGCCTCGACGACACCTCCCATTTCGCACAGGCCACGCCCACCCTCGTCGCTCTCGCCTTTTCAGCGGCTCGGCTCGCCATCAAAGCTTCCTTCAGGCGGAAGTAGACCATGAAACTTTTTCCCCCCCTCCAACTTCTTTGACTTGCGCACTAGCTGGCAGGGTGTAGCCTGCTCGGGTCCAACTCTTTTCCTTCCCAAACTTTTTTTGGGGTTGTTTCCATGGCGGTGGTCACAATCCCGTAAGGAAAGAAAGAAGTGGATGTTCACAGGAGAGAAAGTAGAAAGCGGCACACAAGTTCAAGAAAGTAGAGCCGCTTTTTTTCTGCACAGAAGGAGCGACCGAGCAGCAGCACCGGCGCGTCCCGCATGATTTGAGCCCTCGGTCCGCGAGCTCGGTAGCTGAAGAGTTACCGCAACAACTTTTATGGACGGAAACGCCTCGGTTAGGGGGGTTTCGGAGTTTTGCTTCTGCGCGCGGTGAGGACGACGGACACGAGCGACCCCCACCATGCCCCGTTTGGCCCTCGTTCTGGGCGCGCTGACTCTGACTTTGTGGGCGACGTGCAGCCGCGGAGCCATGGACGAGTGCGCGGACGAGTCCGGGCGGCCTCAGCGCTGCATGCCCGAGTTCGTGAACGCCGCCTTTAACGTGACCGTGGTGGCCACGAACACCTGCGGCTCTCCGCCCGAGGAGTACTGCGTGCAGACCGGCGTGACCGGAGTCACCAAGTCCTGCCACATCTGCGACGCCCGGGACCCGAGGCAGCATCACAGCGCGGTCTACCTCACCGACTACAACACCCAGGCGGACACCACCTGGTGGCAAAGTCAGACCATGCTAGCGGGCATCCAGTACCCCAACTCCATCAACCTCACCCTTCATCTGGGTAAGCACCTCCGGCTTTGGGCACTCTTTAAAAATCTGTCCGGCTTTGTTGTTTCTGTTAGGAAAATTGGGATTTTTTTTTCCTTAGATTGGCGCACATTTGTCGTGAACGCAAAGTGTAGTCTACTTAGCCCACCCAGCCCCTTTAAATAAAGTTAGAAAGCTAGACAGTGTTGAACTTTGATTTCTGTTGGTTAGGCAATGTTTGATCCGTTGACTCGTGTTTGTGTTGCTTTATCGAAGACAGTATTATCAGTTCAGCCCCTGTTGTAAAAGGACAAGCACTGATTTTTGCAGTTGGCCTGCTTTGGATCGAGTGATCAGCGATCTTGTAGTCCAAGTCAGCAGTTGCCCACCCTTCGATATAGGCTAGTTAAGCTGCATCACACAGATTACAAGTAGCTTCTTGAATGAAAGCATTACGATGGATGGTGCTGGCCAAAAAACTGCCAACATGGATAAAGCGCTGCTTTAGCGTGTCTTGCTAATGTGAGTAGAAAGGCTGCAAACAGCCGCTAGGGCAGATTGCCTTCTTGCAACAATAGCCTGTTTTCAAGGCTGGATTGGTCACGTAGCCTGTTTTACAGTATTTTCACAAATCCCACTTCTGTGAGCTTGTCTACTCTTCATATTTGACAGCTAACCATGTTAAACTTGCATTTGCTCTATTCAGGTTTGACTAGTTTTAAATAAACTCTTTAACTATTTATCAGTATGGTAATAAAGTCGAACCTGAAGCTGTTTACTAAGTGCTGCTAGACTTCATCAAGTCTGGTTGTTGCTTACTGTACCATACTCAATAGCTTTGCCATGTGCATGAATGTTCATTATACCTTCTATAATCTATACCATGGCCTTGTAAGAGGAACCTGCTATGAGGGATTTGCCTCTTCCCCTTGAGCTCTTTAAATTTGGATGGGATCTGGGGAATGCTCGAAACTGGTTACAGTATATTGTGGGAAATAATAACTTACAGGCATTGCTTTGGGGAAAAAACACATTTATCGCATTTGGTTTTAAATATTATTAGTCTGCAGAGTGCATTTTTGTGTACATTTATAATTCAATATTAGAAGCTGTAATAAAGACTTGTATTTGCATTGGTTCTGTTCTTAGACAGCATCTAGTTTTAATTTGACAGGTTATAGGTTATCATTTTGAAATTATGAAGAAAAATCTTAACCATTTGGCTAAATCTGGCACACAAAGTAATGTCCTTGTCCTTGTTAAAGAAACAGATGAAGTGAAGTTTGTTTGTCTTTAGAGTTTATGCTGATATAGATGTCTAGTGATCCGTGACTGAAACATTTTTGACTTACCTGTAAGTGAGTCATGGCACCATGATTCAGAAATGCCCCCTGGTCAAACATTTCCAACATTTGTCTATTTTTATAAATATGTCCTGATAATCTTGTAAATAATGTAATAATCCAAGAGAAGAGGGGCCTGCACCAACAGTTCTGTTTGGCTTGGTGTGACCACTACATTTTCACTTTCACACTCTGCAGGCGTGAGTTCACTGATGAAATTGTTCACATTACATGAATCATTGAATCACTGCCACCCTAAGCTAAATTATGTGGTGAAGAGGATTCTGAGACTGGGAAGAGTGAGCTGCAAGTCAAATGGAAAAAGGAGTAAATCTGCAATAAACTATGAAGCTAGTGATTTGCCTTGCTTCATATTTGCATGTGTTTAATGAATGCGTGAGCACCTGTAGCCTCTCTTGAATCAACCTGGACAGCATTACTCCATGTTCTACTCCATGAGTCAGTGAAATTGCCAGTGTAGGCTATTGTGGTCCTTGAAAAGGTAGTTATTTATTCTAAATAATTAAGATAATTATAATTTTTAGAAGGTTCCTCAAGAGATCTTTGTAATTATTTTTCTCTGTGTTGAATTCAGGTGAACAATGAATATTAAAATTTGTTTGCATGAACTGTTTCCATGTTCTTGCAAACTTCAAACTAGTTTTTTTTTGAAAGAAAGTGATTTTTGTGTCATTCTAAGTTTGAGAATGTAGCTTGACGTTCTTTCCCTACTTCCTTTAGCTATTGTTTCAGGTGATCTTAGTCTGCTTGATTTCTTATTTGTCTAATTGCTGTACCCTTAAGGGTTTATACTGGCTGAAGATTTGGTAACATGGTCTATAAAGCTGATCAGCTGTCTGATGGGTGACTGTCTGCTTTGAGGCCGTCATGGCCAGGAGCACTAAAGGGTGCACATCTGTAATTCCTGCTGGCTTTGATTGTATCTAATGACGGTTGGAAGTGGCCTCTCATGCAGTTACACACGTTCATGCACAACACACAAAGACTGGCATCTTTTGTACTTTGCGGGAAGCGAAGTCAGAATGTCTGTGCATAATGATATTTTTTGTGGTAGGATGTTCTCCGTGTACCTCAGTAGGCGGGAAGCCACAAGAAGTCTGCGTCTCTCAGCCATAAGCTCTTATTTTTATATACTCTGCCTTTGATGGCTTTTATCTCCATTCTACCTGGTTTGGGCAGGAAGAAGACAAGTCCTGACTTGACAGCTCAGAGTTCTTTTCCCTGAAAACTGGAGCCTGATCTAGTAGGCAGACAGATGAGGAGAGATGAATCAGATAGATTTAGGCAGGTAGTAGTATTTTTAAATATGTTAGGGATCAGACGTGGAGATATTTGCACCCCTGAGTGGGTTCTTACACAGGAAGAACGTATATGCTTTGCCTTGATGAAGGCTTTTGCCTCATCTGTTGGTTGCTAGTAGGTTTTTTGTCTGTGCCTTACATGAGTACCTGAAATCCAGTTTTATGGTACAGAGGATTTGCCATTTTTCCCTCAAAGACCACCTATTGAGTCTTATACCCGTGAAGCACTTTTTTTATGATTTATGAAAATTGATTCAGTCTAGCCTTTGGCTAATAAAGACTTCTAATGAATTCTCATTTTATGTATGCTTAATCTAGGTCTGCAAACCCAACCCACAGGCTTGGATGTTCATACAGATTGGGAGCAAGACTGTTTGGTCTTTTGTTATCTAAAACTCTTCTGTTCATGCTGTATGCCTTACTCTATGCCTCTATACCTATCTGTGGATTTTTTCCAGTGGCAAAAATGTATTTCAGATAACTCGGTTGTTCCATTATTTTTGTCCACCAATGGGAATACCAATGGACAATGCAAGCTCATACTCCTCAGATAAATCACAATGGCACATAATTTATTAACTCAGACTTATTGGATTTATTAACTGCATGTGAATGACTGTGAACAGTGTAGTGGCATTCTGTGCTTATCTTTTGTCTTTCCTGTTATGAAGCAAAAAAAAAGTGTTTACAGATAGACATCTACTACCCTGGACCCAATCTTTTGCCTGTATTGTTTGTTGTTAAATGTCAAATTAGGCCTAAATGAGCCAGTTGCACACGAGGGACACAAATCTCTCCAAGCCCTTCCCTGTGTTCCCAGTGTACTTGAGCAATGATGATGCAACTGCAGTTCATGTGCTGCACATCTGTCTAGTTAACTGAAACTGTGAAGAGACCCACTGTACATCTGCCTTTTTAATGGTTTAAATCTGGGAACATTTCTGACATTCTTTCATACTCGTTACAGCATTAACCATGCTTCCCTCCTTATTACAATGATTATGCATTCATTTGTATAGAAAGGGACACTTGCTTTTGGATGACTACAGTTTGTTGGACTGGCTGGACAAAAAAGTTGCCCTTGACAAGGGGCAAGTATTTGGGAAGAGTACTCTCTTCCTGTTCTCTTGCTTACTTACAACCCCCCCACCCCACCATCACCCCCCCACCCCTACCCCTTAGCTGACTGTTTTGCTCTCTTGTTGGCCCGTTTGCTGTCTGAGCGTGAGGAGAGGAAGCAGCACAGCAGTGTGGGAACGTGAAGTGCAGAATGTTTCGTGGGCCCTAGGGTCCTTTTCCCTCATCCCTTGCAGGCTTTTTTTCCCAAACTCAGCCAAAGACCTTGTCATTTCTGAAAGGGGGACCAGCTGGACCAAATTATACCAATCTTAGTTGAGAGGGTTTAAGGGAGAGCAAGTTCTCTGGTTTAGAACCTATTGTTGGTCTCAGGAAGGTATGATCTCACCGTGGGAACCTTGTGCTTAAAAAGGACTCAAAGTTGCAGTGTGCATGTTGGTACTTGGCTACAATTACAGTCCTGTTTATTGTGGTCAACACATTGTTTCCTATTTTGAGTATCAGTAGTAACACTAGTTTACAACTATAAAGAATACACTATGAAATGTAAACTTCTTTTTGTCTTCTTTGACAGTAAAAGAAGACAACAGCAATAAAAGAAGTCCAAACTGTTAGTTACTTCTGTAATTGTGTTGCTGAAGATTTGTGTTGGAAAATTGTGTTAAATTGGAAGATCAGACCACCCAGTGTGGACAAAAGTGCAGGCACTGCCTCATCTCCTGGTGATAAAGCCATTGTGGGACACTGATCTTGGCCAAATAAGCCAAACACCTCCTGAAAAATCTCCTGCTGGTTTTATATTGTACCTTGTAGCTGTCACACAGGGTGCTGCTCCTATTGTCAATTTAGTGTCGTTTGCCCATTTCACTGTGCAACCTCATAGGGGTTCCGTTACAATCTTTAATAACGGCTGTTTAAAAAAAAAGCTTTGGAGATTTTACGCTTGTTTGGGTTAAATTGGCGAGTTTGCCTAATGAACTGAGCTTTGCATTCCTCTTTGGTGTTGTAAACACCTCTGAGAAATTCTCAGCTAAGGTTGCTTAAGTCTTTTGTAAGTAAATATTCTGAGAAAAATGGCTCGGATTCTTGAAAACTTAAACATTTTGTCTGGATTGCGGTGAATTGTGTAAACTGGCAAGCAGCCAGTCCTCAGTCTAATCAGCTGCATCTGGGCTGACTGCAGATGAAGATGTGACTGACAGTAGATTAAGGCATGCTTGGTGACACAGACGTTTTTGATGTCTCAGCATTTCACTAACTTTTTTACCTTTCTGACCTCTTTTACATTATCT